CTGCACAACAGGAAAAGTAGGATCTTTTCCCAAAAGGAAAGGCTGAGGAAAGAACATGATTATGATAGGGCTGGGAGGGACAGATTATGAATTAGTTCATCTTTGGACACATTAAATTCAAAGTATGTTAGATATCCAAGCAGAGATGTCACATAGCAGTCAATTATGTAAGTCTGGAATCCTGGGCTAGACATACAAACTTTGAGGTTGCCAGCAAGTAGATATTTAAAGCCATGAGACAGGATGAAAGTCACAATGAGAGTGACTATAGAAAAAGAGAAGTCTAAAGATTGAGCCCTAGAAGAATTCTCATGTCTGGAGAAACAAACAAAAAACTGGAAGAAGTAGCTACCAATAAAGTACGAGGAAAAGTGTGATAACCCAGAAGCCAAGTGAAAAAAAATGTCAAGGGTGAGGAAGTGATGAACTGTACCAAATAATGCTGAAAGGTCAAATAAAAGGACTGGAAAAAGACCAGTGCCCTTCAGCCAGAAGAGAAACAAAGACCTGATTAGGAATATTCCTCTTAAGTGAAACAAGAAATGGGAGTGGCAAGTGGAGAGGGATGCAGTACATATATTTACAAATACATATATTTAAGATGAGAAAACTACACATTATTACGCCATTGGGAAAGATTCAGTAGACTGGGGGAAAAAAGATGCTGAGGATACTTCTAAGAACGATGTCCTAGTTTAAGGATAGGATCTAATACAAGAGGAGAGAAGTTGGCCTTAGATAAGAGAACCAAGTGTCACCCGTAGGAAGAGGAAGGAAAGGAAGAACACAGAGACAAGATGCACACAGGTGATAGTAGTTATCTTCTGATTGCTTTCATTTCTCAGTTACCTAGGAAACCAGGCCACCAGCTGAGTGAGGCCTGGGGAAATGCTGGAGCTTGAGAAGAGAGAAGCTGTAGAATTATATAGTTCAGGAGGCTAGGAACTTAGTAGACTGGGACAATGACTGGACTAGGGAAACAAATGCTTGAGGCTGGAAGTCAGGAATTTAAAATGGGACCAGTCACTGTGGCTGTTTTTCTGCAGCCACATCTAGCCATGTGGAGGACAGGAGTGGTATAGGCAGTACTAGAATGTTTTTATTTTTATTTTTGGCATGATGCTCTGGTTCCTTCATCTTAATTTGCATTAAATTATAAGAATATGCCACAATATATTAATAATTTATTAACCCTTTCACTTACTGATAGACATCTATGCTGTGTCCATGTCTTTACTATTTGAGACAATGTGGCAATCCTTGCTCATGTTTTTGTGCTCACACAGGAGAATTTCTAATCTAGGATATATATCTAGAAGTGGAATTGCTGGGCCATGAGGTATGCCTAGCTTCACTATTACTGGATATTGCCAAATTACTCTTACAAATGACTATACCATTTTATCCTCTCGTCAGCAGTGGACACAGGTTCTCATTTTCCCCCTGCCAGACTTCTAAATTTGTGCCAGCCTAATGGGTATGAAATAGTATTTTATTGCCTTCTTTTGCAAAATTCTGATTTCAAGATTGAGCACCTTTTCATTTATAAGCCAGCCTTTGTCTAACCACAGATCTCCATTCCATTGCTCACTTAGCAAGATTATATTACGTACTTACTAGGTGTCTGCATTGTGATTAGTAGGGGAACAAAAAAGTTACCAAAACATAGACCCTGCTTTCCTGTAACTCACAACCTAGTGTGAGGTGGGGATGGGGGAAAAACCAAATAATACAAATACAAACTGTGGTAACATAAAGCACATTAATAGTAATCTATGAAAATTTAAAAGAGGGTGATCAATTTAGTTGAGATCTGTATCTTCAAAAGATAAAAGCAATGTTATTATAAAAACCAATACCAAAACCAATCCAAATGTGACCCTACAGTAAGGGACTTATGGAGCTCTTGAGACTGTATAGTAACATGAAAAATATTTATGAAAAATGGTGCTTTTCAAAAAACTACAAGACTTACTCATAGTATGGGCAAATATAAATAATAACTTGATATATTAAGGTATGAGGGTTATGGGTGATTTTAGGTCATTTAATTTACTAGTCAGGGAAAGTGTTCCAAAGCCCTTTACCATTTTGTCTTTGCTTGGTCTCCAACCTAACCTATCACCGTATCCTTTCATCTACTCCTCCCCCAAACAATGCTGCATTATATGCAGCTCCTTGAACATAATAGGGCTCTGGAGACAAGAGTTAGAGGTAAAAAGCTATGCCTTTGGGAAGCCCCGGTGGCTCAGCGGTTTAGTGCCGCCTTCAGCCCCGCATCGGGCTCCCTGAACGGAGCCTGCTTCTCCCTCTGCCTGTGTCTCTGCCTGCTTCTCCCTCTGCCTGTGTCTCTGCCTCTCTCTCTCTCTCTCTGTTTCTCATGAATAAATAGATAAATCTTTAAAAAAAAAAAAGCTATGTCTTTGTAGCCAGTCCTGGGTTCAAAACCTGAATTTGCATGGGAAATACTACCTTAAGGGAATTAACTTACCTCTCTGGCCACCCCAACCCCCATTAGAAAACAAGGATACATGTATTAGGTTTCTTTAATGCAAACAACAGAAATCTGACAGATTAGCTTAATCAAAAAGGGGTAAATTGGACTGACAGTGTGGAGTCCACTGAATCCCAGGAAGGGTTTCAGAAACTGAGTCAGGTCCAAGGACCCCAGGATTAGAATGGAGAACACCATCGTGTCAGCTGCATCCCCCTCTAAAACAGACCTCCCCCCTCTGATAAGGAACTGGACTTTAAGCAGTTCTAGACCTTCACTTTTCCAGCCTAGCAACACAAAATTAAAATATCCCTGCCAAATCTATTTTGAACATTAACTGGCAAAGGACTCTGGCTCAACTAGGTCACAAGCTTGCTCCTAAAACTATCACTGAGCCCCAGGGCTGTTGACTTGTGTTCCTGTGTTGTAACAGAAATGTTACAAGAGAAAGGGAGAAAAAATGCTGGGCAGAGACAAGAGCTACCATAAGACCTAGAACTAGGAGTTGTAAGGATTAAATGAAATGATGGCTATGACATATTTCACATGATCTCTTTCTAGTAGTACACATTCAATAAATGGTAGCTCGTATTAACTCACCTGACCATGCTGAGTTTAGCAGTTAATCCCTCTTCCTTGACGCACCATATTTTAATCTTAGCCAAGTTCTGAAAACTGAAAAAGACAAAATGACTCCCATTCAACTAAGAAGGCTATTTATTGAAATAATACAATGATGTTACAAGGATGCATTTCATGTGGCCTAGAAAGCTGGGTGTTCATAAGTGCGTGGTACCTGGTTGCTGGAACTACAGAATCCTCTCCTCAAACAACCACACATACCATGTACATTTTGGGCTCCTTCTGTCAGTGCATTTGTTGAGATTCACTGGTTGAATCAACTTGGTTGGATCTAGGCCAAGTTCCACACACAAACCAGTGGTTTTGAGTCTTCTGAATTAAGTCTTTACAGACTTCTATAAAAGTAGGATAGCACTCAACTGGTTACAATATGTCATTCTTAGAAATAGTCCACTATGGGGATCCCCAAGTAATCAGCAGCAAATAAGTTCCTGATAAGCATGGAAGCCACTCAATGTGTGTGTGTGGGGTGGTTTGTGTAGAGTTACCCATTGTCAAACTATGAATCAGACAACAACATGGTCTTGGCACTGTGTGTGTATGTTAAGCATAAAACATCACAAACAAGGTATTTTTGAATGGTTAAGGTCTTAGAAGGGCAGGTCCCCATCTTGTTCCATTTGTGATGGACTCATCGGGCTAGACATCACACATTTCAGTCCCCATGCACATTTTTTCTGCAAAGAAAAATTCTATGCAGAATATGCAAATAAATATTCTATGCAAATATTCTATGAAGAATATTTGGGAGCCTCCTCCTGTTGTCCAGGATGAGACAAGGATGATGGATCCTGATACCTGGCATGCAAAGAAGACAATAGGAAAGGTTTACCATCAACATCACCCATATCATCCCTATCATGGTTTGTTAGGGTGGGAAAATTTACTTAAGAGGAGAGGCTCCTGTGTGAAAGGGGCCAAGGTCCACAGTTGCTTCCAAATTTATCTCCACTGTTGGCACCTTTGAGCTTTCTTTAGGAAAGCCCACGGGAGGCATGAAAGAACTTTAGGGATGGGAGTGGGCTACTGATGCTTATCTCATGCTTTACTGATGGAAGAGCAGCATAGAATTTAAAAAGTTAAATTTCTTATGATGAAGTTTATGTCCTTGGCACACAAAATGGATCAGTACATGGGTTCTCTAATGACTTAAAGACAGACTAGACTTTATGACAATGGGTAATTACATTTCTACTTCTCCACAGTAAAATTAATTTGGGGAAAAGTTTTCCTCTTTAGTTTTGTGCTATTTTCCCTTTGAGCCATTTAGGGAAGCTTGGGGCTGTGCTTTCTCATAGGAGTGTCATATAAAGTACAATAAGAGGACCTAATAGGTTTATGAAACTGATATGTTAATTCAAAGTATAAATATTACACTTGGGAAAAGGAAAACAAGTTACCAGCAGTTGAGCTACTCAGTTTTTGTTAACATTTTGGTACGTAAGCTTCCAACCAGTTGTTTTAAATAAGTCTGTGACAAATCTGTATTTTGCTGCCTCTTCTGCTTTTATGAATTCCCAGAGTATCCAACTCGAGTGCTCATTAATTTTTGTATCTAATTTATTTTAAAATTTACTTTAAAGCCCTCTGAATTCTAAGATACCTTTTGAGTGGCTAGATCATAGGGCCAAAGATCCAGGAGACCTATTCTCCACCCAGCTTTGCCATTATAAGCTGTATCACACTGTGCAAACCACTTCACATCTTTGGTTTTGGTTTCTTCATCTGTACAATGAAGTGGTTGGACCAGTTGATCTCATTCTTTGAATGGTGAATTCCGGGAGGTGGAATTGGTTTCCATGGTGAATTTAATGTTAAGAGCTGCACTTGAATGCTGTTGTCAGTCTAAAAAGTTAAGTTTTGGTCACTGCTGCAGGAGTTTATTAAAAAAGGCTGTAAACACAGAGTTACAAGTCAAACTGTTCCAAGTTGATGATCTCCTGCATATACATATCCAAAAGCTTTATAAAGTCCAATACATAGGCATATCATTTCCAATTGGTTATATATATGTTTATAGTTGTTTTTACAAATGTCTGTAATCAATTTGAGAATGTGGCTTCTATTTATTAAAAAACAAACAAACAAAACATTGTCTACTAGCACAGGGCTTTCTTCACACACAACGTGCACACACACACACACACACACACACCCCATTACATTCTTAAACTTCCTCTCAGGTAAGAATTCTCTGACACTGAATAAACAATATTTGAACTAAAGTTTTCTGCACATTCCTTAATTTCAGGGCTCCTACAGTTTATTTCGTGTATGAATTCTCTGGTGTTTAGTTAGCGCTGAACTTCTACTGAAGTTTTTCCCACATTCCTTACAAGCATAGGGTTTTTCTCCAGTATGAATTCTCTGATGATCATGCAGATTGGTTTTCTTTCGAAAGGCTCGCCCACATTCATTACATTCATAGGGTTTTTCCCCAGTATGAGTTCTCTCATGCTGAATGAGGGATGAACTCTGACTGAAGGCTTTCCCACAGTCAATACATTCATAGGGTTTCTCTCCAGTGTGGGTCCTCTCATGTTGAGTAAGTGATGAGCGTCGACTGAAGGCTTCTCCACATTCATTACATTCATAGGGTTTCTCTCCAGTGTGGATTCTGTGATGCTCTATAAAGCTTGTACTCCTTTTGAAAGCTTTCCCACATACATTACACTGATAGGGTTTCTCTCCAGGATGAGAGATAGGTTGTTGATTAAAGTTCTGCTCACATTCATAGGGATTCTGTCCGGCATGGATCCTCTGATGGTCAGTAAAGTCAGTAATGTGACTGAAGTCTTCCCCACAGTCATTACAATGATAGGATTTCACTTCAGTGACAGTGCTTTCATCTTGAGTAAGAGATGAGCTGTGCTTGAAATCTATGCTGTAGGTGTTGCTTTGGTAAGGTTTGCCTCTCTTATGAATCCTCATATGTTTGTAAAGGGATGGACTCTGTCCAAAAGCCCGCCCACATATGCTACATTCAAAAGGTTTCTCTCCTGTATGAGTCCGTTCATGCTGGACGAGGGAAGAACACCGACTGAAGGCTTTCCCACATTCCTTACACTGGAAAGGCTTCTCTCCACTATGTGTGACCTCATGCTGAGTGAGGGACGTGCCATGCCTAAAAGATCTTCCACATAAATTGCATCGATAGGGTTTTTCTCCAGTGTGAATTCTCTGGTGTTGAACAAGGGAGGAGCTGCGCTGGAAGGCTTTTCCACAGAGACTGCACTGGTAAGGTTTCTCTCCCGTATGAGCATTCTCATGCTGACCAAGTGATGAGCTATGCCTGAAGGCCTTCCCACAAACATTACATTCAAAGGGCTTCTCCCCAGTGTGAATTCTCTGATGCTCAGTAAGCTGTGTCTTCCAGAGGAAGGTTTTCCCACAGTCACTACATTCATGGTGTTTCTTTCCAGGATAAATCCCCTGATCTGTACCATTAGGGAAAGCTCCCTCTCCTTTATGAGTTTTCTCATGTTTAGTAAGTGATGATCTATGAATAAAGGCTTTTCTACATTTATCACATTTATAAGGTTTCTTTTTTGCAAGGATATTATTCTGATTAAGTATGTCTGGATTATGTCCCAAGTTGCTTCCAAGTGCATCACATTCAGTAGGCCTTGAAGGAATGTTCAGTTGTGTAACCAGGACTGTGTTCAATCTAGAGTTTTCACCAAATTTATTTTGCTGAAAATTTTCTTCTGGTGTGATTTTCTTCTGGTTGGATGTGTCTGGCCCCAGATATCTTTTCCAGTTTTCCTGGTGCCTCTCTAACTGGCTAGTAACATCCCAAGTGTTTTCGAATGTGGCATGTGAATCTGTGCTACGGGATCCTTCAGCTATGCTCTGTTGCAGATGTGATGATTTGACTTCAGGCCTGGTCTTCCAGTCTGAAAAAAATCCAAAGTGCAAAAGTCCCCTATTCCCTCCTACTGAAATTAACTGCTATAGTAGGAATGGGAAAATGAAAGAGATATAAACTGTGCATGATTTGTTTTTGAAATTGGTCCTATAGTTGGGAGAGAAGACCCAAAATGAAGGAAAGGAAGAGTAAAAAGAAATGACAGTACAGACTGCAGAGCCAGAGTGTATGGCAAGTCTAGAATGAAGAAGCCCACCTAGGAGGGCTGGTTAGGAAGTAAGGGCATAAATGAGCATGAGAAGGTTAGGCACAGATACAAATGAAATAAAATCATGGTCTGTCTTGCAAGATCCTATCTGCTTCCCATGCTTCCTGTCCATTTTACAAACCATCCGTTTTCCTAATACAGCCATTTCACAATTTCTTTAAAGTCCCTTTTGAGGCTCCAAATTCTTCAAATCTGACAGAGAAAATCCATAGCCACTGATGTAACTGAAATTATTCTTTGACAAACTTGGAGACCAATGGCTATACTTCACAAGCTGACATAAAGTAGTATTTCAGGAGGCAAATCATCCTTGCCTTTACAATTAGGGCTGTCGTTTTAGCCTATTTGAGTTCTGGTTCTAAACTAATCACTTCTCTCAACCAAAAAGGATTTTACTCAGCCTAGTAAATTGATCTCTAAACCCCTGTTTAACCTTATAATACTAATAGCAGAGAATTAATTAGTTTCTAGGTCCTAGAAATGGTAACTTAAAAAATAAGAGGAAGGAGGGATCTGGGGTAATAGAGATGTTCCATACTGAAATGAATTTGGATTAGATGGGTGAATGCATCTGTCAAAACCAATTTGGTGGTACTTAGAAGAACTGTGTATCTTACTGTATGTATATTTTTCTTTAAAAAAAACCATAAATATTGAACTCTGGTTAATGATATGTAAGCTGAAGTATGAAGGGGGGAAATGTATTTGTGTTGGCAACTTAGTTGGAAATGCATCAAAAAGACAGATTTTTAAAAAAGACTGATAAATGGATAGATGAAGAATATGTGATAAAGCAAGTACAATAAAATTTTGACAACTACAGAATCTTGGTGATAGGTATATGGTGTTCACAGTATAATTTTTTCGACTTTCCATACATTTGAAAATATTCATAATAAAATATTAGGAGAGGAAAAAAACCAACAACCAGGGGACCCTAAGTCTGTCTCAAAATTCCTTATTCTGGAACAAGACTCCATTCCAATTTCCCAATGACAGAAAATGCTTTGTATTTCTTTTAGGATACTTCCCAGAGGGATATTTAAGAATTGCTTGTTGATACGAATGAGTAAGAAAGTTCTCTCCTCAATCACATTCCAAAACAATCAGGTAATTCCTTACTGATTTCTATGTGCTCTACAACACATAGAATATATAGATATACAACAGACTCTTTCTCTAAGAGCCTGAAGTCTTAGAAACAAGACTTAATCTTTTGATAAAAAAGGAAAACCATCAGATGGTATATTTTAAAATCTCAGTTTGTGTAGCAAAGATGATATAAACGGTGTATTTGTGATCAAGGAAGGAAAAAATAAATATATTAATACATATTATATTCAGAGATTGAATAGACACCTTGAACTTAAGGAATAGAGAACTTTGGATAGGTAGAAAGCATTATCTAATTAGGGAAAGTATACACTACTTACAGAAAACATTAAAAAGAATTTCTACTCAAGTGGAGCTTGTTTTAGTGGGAAAAGAAAGAGAATACTGGAAGGTGTGATAGGGGACTTTTAAATCAAGGGGGAGTTTCTGTTTCCTATCATGAGGTACAAGGAGTAACAGCAAGGTTTTGTCAGAGGTAGGTGGTTTATGAAGATAAAGCATTAAGACCCAATATGGTCCACCAAGCAATGAGTAAATAATAAACAGAATGTGGGTGGTATGTCCATACAATGGAATATTATTCAGCAATAAAACTAAGGAGGTACTACTGCATGCTACAACATTAATGAACCTTGAAAATAATATGCTAAGTGAAAGAAGCTGGTCACAAAAGGCTATATATTTATATGATTCTATTTACATAAAATACCCAGAAATGGTAATCCACTGAGATAAAAAGATTAATGGGTGCAGGGGTAGTGGGGAATGGAAAACGACTGCTAATGGGTATGGGGTTTCTTTTTGAATGTTGAAATGTTCTGTAGTTAGATATTGGTGATGGTTGCACAACTCAGTAAATATTTGAAAAACTACTAAATTGTACATTTTAAAATGGTGAATTTTGTGGTACGTAAATTATATCTCAAAAAAAAGGTATGATTTTAAAAATCCAATGTGGGTTACAAAAGAAAAGACAGAGTGAGCAACTTCAACTGAGAACTACAGTAATCTCCACATGGGGCCTAGTGTAGAAGGAAAATAATCTGAATTATAAGAAAAAGTCTAAACTGACTGGGGTGTTTGTCCCGAGGGATTAGGGATCCAGTGGTTTCTAATGGGTAGGGGAGAAATGGGTAATGAGTAACATAGTAAAATGTGCTGGGTGGGGATGAAAAATGATTAATTTGGATTTTAGGTATTTAATTGCATGGGACTTCCACAAGGAGGGGTTTTGTGAGAAGAGACGAAAGTGACCAGGGTACAAGTATGGATGATTTATGAGTCAAAAGCATAGAATAAAGAGCTATAACTACCAGAGGGCAGGTACCCTTTTAAGGTGGTAATACCGAAAGAAAGAGGGGGAAGAAGCTGAAGAGCAGACTCCTTAGGCAGATTCGCTTAGGGGGGAAACCCAGCAAAGTCAGAGACCTAAAGCCAAGAGGTACTTAGTAAGCCAGGAAACCAGGCAAGGATGAAACTCCAGGAACCACGGAGAGGCAATGAAGCAAACTGGCATGAAAACAGAATGGAAGGAAGATGTAACTCCTCCCCAGACAGGTGTTGTAGGGTCAGGGAAAGAAGTCTGAAGGAAAGTTATGAAAAGGCAGAGAATCAAAGCCATGGTACTTCCTACAAGTCTGGGGCCAATAAAAAGCAGCAAGACAAGACAAGAAGACCCTGGAGTTCAATTAATGTCTGAATGAGTAAGAAAAGGGATTTCTTTTTTTTTTTTTTTTAATTTTTTTTAATTTTATTTATGATAGTTACACATTGAGAGAGAGAGAGAGAGAGAGGCAGAGACATAGGCAGAGGGAGAAGCAGGCTCCATGCACCGGGAGCCCGACGTGGGATTCGATCCCGGGTCTCCAGGATCGCGCCCTGGGCCAAAGGCAGGCGCTAAACCGCTGCGCCACCCAGGGATCCCAGAAAAGGGATTTCTAATCATGAACACCAGAGGACACCAGAGGAGAAAACCCAGCTGGGTTTCCTCTAAGACTGGTCAGCAGCAGGAATGCCCTGCTGGAGAAGGCAGATAGAGATGTTACCTGGAGATGGCTCAGTCTCTTCTGCAGGTCTAGGAGCTCCCAAGGCACCAACATGAAGGTGCTCCCCTCTCCCTCAGCTGTGGTAATGTCTACATTGATTCCTGCATGCCTGTCTCCCCCCTCATTTACCTGGACAGCAAGGTCTTTGGATTTCTCCCTCTGATATCCATGGCTCTTCTCCTTGTTCCAATTTGAAGATCACCTCTGGCTTGGAAACTTGATATCCTGCTCATGGGTAAATACACAAGATTGGTTGTTTGTACAAGTAGACAAAGACCCCTCCTACAAGTCAGTACTAGTCCTTGATCTTCAGGAACTCTGAAGGGAAAAAAAGGTGCAACTTGAGGAGTCATGAAATCAAATGACCTAATTTCCAGTTCTGCAAAAGAAAGAACTTTACCTAAAGAGCAGGCTCAGAAAACCATAAAGCTGAGTCCCAAAGAGAAGAACAAGCACTAACCATGAACACCCTGCTCACTGCCACATGATCTACAAGCCCCACCACCATAGCACCTGAGAAAGGAAAAACTTGCCAGTAGGCAAGATACTGAATTGGTCCTTACCAAGAGAAACCAGGTGGCTATAGTTCTCCAGCATCACATCCCTGTACAAGAGCCTCTGAGCAGCATCCACATGGTGCCATTCTTCTTGGGTGAAGTCCACAGCCACATCTTTGAATGTCACTGATTCCTGGAGGATCACATTCTTGTTCAACTAGGGATCAATACCACAAATGTGCCCATGGCAATACTGGGAACATACTGTAGGGTCATCAGAAACAGTGAGAACATGTTTGACATCCTGAGGGGGCACTGTTTTTGCAAAGAATCCAGTATGGCAGGCAGGAAAGTCAGGAGGGGCAATATATTCTCTAATCTCATATTCCTACTTAGCTATCTTGCTTTCCTATAAAGCCAAGCCTTGTCACACAATCAGCAATTCCACACTGCCCATGTACCTCCTTTGTTACAAAACCCCAACATAGCAGGGAATAAAAATAGCAGCCTTCCTTCACCCCTCCCCCCAATACCACTATGCTCCCTAGACATCAACACTGTTAACAGTTTGGCAGATACATGCAAGAGTCCCTTCTCCAAGGTTTCATTCACACATACACAGTCTTGTTTTGTGAAATACCTTACATATTGTTCTACAACTTGCTTTTTGCATTTAACTCTGTATCTTGGAGATCTTCCCATAGGGGTACATATGATTTCACCTTATCCCTTTGAACTGCTTCATAGTACTCCATATACAGCTATATCTTAACACATTCATTGCCTAAAACTAACAGTACTCCATTGTACTGAGGATAAGATTCAGACATCCCCCACCATTTACTGGACTCTAGCCAGGCTGTTCTTGCTCATCCCTGAATACATCTAGCTTCCTCCTACCCTGAGGCCTTTATACTTGTTACTCCCTCTTCCCCTAGGATCTCCATCCACATGGTTGAAAACAAAGTTTCTAGTTGTCCAGGCCTCATCTCGAGCACACCCCCTAGGAAAAATTGTCTTGGCACCTCCCTCAGATTGACCCTCCATCACATTACCATGGTAATCTCTCTCACCTAAATTCCTACCACTTGAATTTAGGAACCAAACAAATTCAGGTAAAAAGGACACCGTACTTCTAACAATAATCTGAGATTAGCTGACTTGTTAGCTTCTCTCTTCTCCCTAACATGAGCTCCACAAGAACAGGGATTTTATCTATGCTGATGGGTTATATGCCCAGCACAGAGTGGATGCTTAAAAAATATTTGGTGGCTTCTTCATTCTAGACTTGCCATACACTCTGGCTCTGCAGTCTGTACTGTCATTTCTTTTTACTCTTCCTTTCCTTCATTTTGGGTCTTCTCTCCCAACTATAGGACCAATTTCAAAAACAAATCATGCACAGTTTATATCTCTTTCATTTTCCCATTCCTACTATAGCAGTTAATTTCAGTAGGAGGGAATAGGGGACTTTTGCACTTTGGATTTTTTTCAGACTGGAAGACCAGGCCTGAAGTCAAATCATCACATCTGCAACAGAGCATAGCTGAAGGATCCCGTAGCACAGATTCACATGCCACATTCGAAAACACTTGGGATGTTACTAGCCAGTTAGAGAGGCACCAGGAAAACTGGAAAAGATATCTGGGGCCAGACACATCCAACCAGAAGAAAATCACACCAGAAGAAAATTTTCAGCAAAATAAATTTGGGTGGCTCAGTCGGTTAAGTGACTACCTCCAGCTCAGGTCATGATCTCAGGGTTCTGGGATGATAATGAGATGATCCATAGTAAAGCAAGGTGCCCAGGCATTCAGACCAGGGAAAATGAGAGAAGGGAGAGAAGCTTGAGGCAGGCTATGCACTGGGCCTGAAGTGGTAATTCAGTGGTACCACCTGAATGGGAGAAGAAAAGTGGGAATCCAATCCAGGGATTACCAAGCTTGAAAAGAGAGGCTGAGATTGGGCTGGGCATGGCCAGCAGGGAAAAAGGGGTTGTCAAGGCAGGCATTTTAAGTTAGGTTGTAAGAAGTAACACTTTCTCCCCATTGCCTACTCTATCAGGTAAACACATACAGCCCCTTTGGTTGTCAGCCAACCTGGATTCCTTTGCTTAACTGGTCCCTCTTATTTATTATTATTATTATTTTAAAATATTTATTTAAATAATCTTTACACCCAACATGGGGCTTGAACTCACAAGCCTGGGATCAAGAGTCACAGGCTCCTCCAAATGAGCCAGCCAGGTACCCCTATTATTTTTAATTAACTAAGTAATCTCTACACCCAGTGTGGGCTTTTAACTCATGACCCCGAGATCAAGAGTCATATGCTCTTCTGACTGAGCTACCCAGGCGTCCCCAGTTTAAAACATGGTCTTCTGGTTTTCTTCTGCTTCCTCAAATAGATTGCACATGTGGTAAAGAATGTCCTAACCAGTAAACAAATATCTAGTCCAAGGTCAACAAATATTTCTTGCCTCAACAGGACAACTGGTTTCTGTTCTACTCTTTGTCCCACCAACCCTCTTTCCTACTCACTATCAGAGTCAGTTTTCTAAGATGCAATTATTTGATCATGTTATAGCCAGACCACCAACACCTCTTACCCAGACCATTGCTACAACTTCTAACTTGTCTCTCTCCTTATCCACTCATATCTTGCTCCCAAGTCTGTCTTCCATATATGAACCAGAGTGATCCTGTTAAAACCTGTCAGATCAAGTCACTCCTTTGCTTAAAAATCTCCAACAGGATGTCACTTCATTCCAAGTAAAAGCCAAAGTCTTTACAGTGGCCTACACATCCCCTCCCCCAGTCTGGTCCCCAGCTATTTCCCTAACTTCATCTTGAACCTCATCTCTAACCCACTGCTCTCTCCCCTTCACTTACCCTGCCCCTCCTTCAGGTTCCTGGAACACACTAAGCATGTTTCTGCTCTGGAGCCTTTGCTTTGACTGTTCCCTTGACCTGGAAGCCTCTTCTTGCAGATGGGCATGTGGCTCCACATTCACTTGCTTCAGTTCTTTGTTCAAACGTTACCTCATCAGGGCAAACTTCCCTGGCTACCCAGCATTAAACAGCACACCCACCCTGCACTGTCACTCTGATTTCTTCTCTTTTTTCTTTCTTTTTCTTTTTTTCAAGATTTTATTCAGCAGCCCCAGTGGCGAAGCGCTTTAGTGCCAACTGCAGCCTGGGGTGTGATCTGGAGACCTGGGATCGAGTTCCACGTCAGGCTTCCTGTATGGAGCCTGCTTCTCCCTCTGCCTGTGTCTCTGCCTTTCTGTCTCTATGAATAAATAAAAATCTTTAAAAAAAATAAATAAATATTTTATTCATGAGAGACACAGAGAGATAGAGGCAGAGACACAGGCAGAGGGAGAAGCAGGTTCCATGCAGGGAGCCCGACGTGAGACTCTCTCCAGGGTCTCAAGCACCAGACCCTGGACTGAAGGCGGCACTAAACCGCTGAGCCACCAGGGCTGCCCTCTTCTCTTTTTCATAGTCCTTAGCAGCTGACACATATTTTCATTTGTTTATAGTCTGTTTTGCAGAGTACAATATAAACTCCAGGAAACGGGGACTATTATTTATTTTCTTTATGACTCTTCATTGCCTAGAACAGGCCTGGCACATAGTGGGTGTTTGAGAAATATTCAATAAAATGTTTTTCTTGAAATTAAGAATTAGATTCCTTCATGCAACCTTCAGAGAACTTTATAGCCTGGTGCCCACCTTACCTTCCACAGCCTCAGCTCTGGTTTCTCCTTCCCTTGGACACCGTAATTCAGCTTGCAGAAGAGTTACAACTCTTTGAAACTAAACATTTCTTTTGTCTCTGTAAAAATGCTTGGAATTCCCTCCTCTGCCTAGGTAACACTTATTCTCTCACCAGGACTTGGTAAAAAGTTCTCTCCTCTGGAGCTCCTCCCCTAATATTAGGTATGGGCCAAGTGCCTCGTCCCAACCCCCTGCCCCCCACCCCCTCCTTGGGGCCCTCTCCAGCATGCTCATAAGACACTCACTACCTTATAGTGTCTGTTACCTATTATTCACTGTACTCGGAAAGTGTTAAGACCTTGTCTCAGGCACCTCTGAATCTCCAGAGGTCAGAACCAGTTTGGTACACAAAAGACAATCAAGATCTTGCAAGATTAAATAGGTAAAATGTACTGAGACTCCTGGTGTGAGTGAGCCACTCTGAGTGGGCTCAACTCTACAGCATTCACCCTCCTTCCAGATAAAACTGGACCTCATTATCAATCCCTTTTAAAAATTAACAAAGTTATCATGAAGTATCAAGTATCATTTCACCTTCTTCATGTTGACATAAAAAGTCCAAAGAACTAGAAAGAGCATATACTAAGTTGAGAAGACTCAATTCCTTGGGCCCATAAAGAGTGGTACACTAATCATGTGCAATATCCCTTGGATAAATCACAGACTCTTGGTCCAATCTTCTCATCTATAACATCTGTATCTGGGTTCCCTGAACTGAAATGTAGGCTTTTTAAGAGCAGAAAGGTCAAAGGACACTTCCAACTCTACAGGACCACACTTGTAAATATAAAGAGATACCCCTCCAACTCTAACATGTGCCAACTCTAGAGGAGAAATCCACTCAAATTCTAACTCAGAAAACTTTGTAACTTAGAATCTTTACAAAGCTGAAAACCAGAGAACGGTAGCTTATAAGTTAAAACAATCAAATTTATAAAAACTACTCCAAGACCAAAGTTAGTTTGCCCAATTAGGACACAGTATGGGGTTTTCACTCAAGTAGTCAGTGCTCCCTGACACCAGACCAATAATAGCTTGGCAAACTGGGTTAACAGCATATCTAATGATAAAGTACAGAGAGAAGACACTCTTACTGTTAGCCTTTACACACATACACACACACGTGCACACACACACACACACACACACACACACACACCCAACTTAGGCTAAGGACATTATTATCCATAGCATCCTACCTGGAAACCTTGCCTCTTCATTTTTCTTTTGTGCCCTGGAATCACCAAGACCCTCAAAAAACGTCTCCCACATAGAGACCCTTCATCTCTCAAATCCTGCTCAAATCCTCCCCTGTCAACGAAACCATTAAGCCACGCAATAACTTTCTAGATTTATGCTAATATGGTAGCCACCAGAAACATGTCACTACATGTGCTCATGCTCATGCTAC